TTTTGCATCTTATTTTTTTCTTTTTTTTTTAGATTTGTGACCTGTGCCGTGCTGCGATACGATCCATCGTAGGTCATCATTTCTGTTGATTGTAGTGTAGCTTCTCGTATCGTCTCAGGTGAGTAGGTGAGTCCTGCCTGTGCGCTGCTCCCTCTGCCTCTCTCTTCTCCATTCCAACTCAAATTGTTATCCATGTTTCGATTAATTAGTTGTTGACTCCAACTCTTTTCTTTGTTTTTATATTTTTTATCTCACCAACAACAACAACAACAACAACAACAACAACAACAACAACAACATCATCAACATCAACAACAACAACAACAACAACAACAACAACAACAACAACAACAACAACAACAACAACAACAACAACAACAACAACAACAACAACAACAACAACAACAACAACAACAACAACAACAACAACAACAACAACAACAACAACAACAACAACAACAAGAAGAAGAATAATAATAACGCAAGTGAGTGCCCAACAGTCATCACGACGATTGCGACCAAGTGTGACATGGAAAAAGGGGGCTGTGGACCCAAGCAATGACTTTTGTCCCAACAAGTCATTGCCACGTTGGAGGACGGGACTAAACGAAAGGGTGCAACTGTACCTTCTTGAGGATGCCAAGCGCACGGATCATAGCTATGTGTGTGAATGGAGGTGATCAGCGCACGATTAGATCAAAGAACAACGAGAATGAGTGGCCAATGTTCAGACCGCCCGACTCGGCGCCCGCGCCTTCTTCCCTCTCTCGATGAAGCACGGGCAACAACAAAAAACACAACAAACGACCAGACAAGCACGGAAGGGCGAGATCTCACCGCGCGGGAAGTGGTCTGTGCCAATGCTAAAGTGGTGGAGCGAGCGCTGGGTTTGCGCGCCCCAGTACGCAGTGTGCTTGACCCCGATGGCGCCCATCGAGTCTGTCTCGGAGCGTTCGTCCGTGGTCGTGTTGGCAGGCACGGCAGCGAACAGTGGCGTGGCCTGCGACGTGTGCTGCTGGTGCACGCTCGCTGCAGAATGCGGAAGAGGATGTGCCGATGGATGTGATGACATGAATCGCCGACTGAGTGATGACCAAGGACTGCGCAGTCTACCGTCCAAAGCGGGAGGATGCAGCGACATGGAATTCGGATGCAACGAAGGGTGCAGTGACAGCGACGGGCAGACGGGCGACAGACTCGCCGGTGCAATTGGACGGCGGTCATGACGATGAAGCGGTTGCCGACTGAGCGTCGCATAGTTGGAAGCAACCATGGAGTTTCGATGAATGCGGCGAATGGACCAAGCCGCCACGTTGACTCTTGCTGCTGCCGTCGCGGCAGAGACGTCGATCAGAGAGATCGGGGTTGGAGCACGAGGCAAACACCTCAGTTCGCAAAGGTGAGCTGTGCAGGCGTTCAGCGTTCGCGTTCTTGTTGCGAGCATTTATTGCGACGATGAAACAATTCAAAAAAAGAAAAGCCACACTTTTGGCAAGTAAATAGATCAAAAACGAGTGACCTGGCACTTGTTGACCATATCAGAGTCCAAAAAACAACAACAACATCAACAACAACATCCCAATCCCAGATCGAATCAGCTCGTTCATCGAAAGCTCACTTGGTCGACGTCCTCCAAACACAAAAGTGTTACACTTTTAAACACGGGTGCTCTCGCGGCGAGCCTTGGGAGAGGTGGCCTTCTTGAACTCGCTGGTGACCTCATCGATGGTGCGGTTCTTGGTCTCAATGACAAAGAACCACACGAAAGCGGTGAAGATGGCGGCCAGGAACATGTAGGGCAGGAAGACGTACGAGTCGAGGCCCGACTTGAGGAAGCGGAAGGTGACCATGACCACAAAGTTGGCGAGCCAGTTGATGACGACAGAAAGAGACATGGCGTTGGACTTGTACTCCATCGGGAAGATCTCGGCAATCACAATCCACGGCACGGGGCCGGGGCCAATGGCAAAGAAGAGCACAGTCATGATGGTGGAGACGATTGACAGGTAGCTCAAGTTGGAAACGTCGTGCATGTAAATGTACGAGATGGACAGGAGCAGGTATGCCACAGTCATGCCGCTGAAACCGACAATGAGCAACGTGCGGCGACCGAAACGAATCAGCAGGCCGACGGCCACGATCGTCAGAATGACGTTAATGGCGCCGAGAACGCAGGTGATCATGTCCGAGTCATCGACGCCAGCATCCTCGAAGATTTCAGTGGAGAAGCTAAAGACGGCATTGATACCCGTCAGCTGCTGTGCGAGCTGGAGACCCACGCCCACAAACACTTGGCGGCTCACAGCAGGCTTGAACAGGTCGAGGAACGGAGGTTGAACCATCGCGCGAGCGGTTTCGACTTCATGGGCAATCTCCAACGCTTCGGGGCCAATGTCAACGCCGCGACCACGCAGTTTGGTCAAGACGGCGCGCGCAGCTTCGCTGTTACCCTTGGAAAAGAGATACGCTGGGGTGTCGTCCAGGAAAAAGAGCGACAAAGACGTGGCAGCAGCAGGGAAGACCACCATACCCAGCAGCCAGGGCCAGCCAGAATCGGTTCCGAGAATCGACGAAATGCCAAGCACCTCGGCAACCAGAATGCCGACAGTGATGGCCAGCTGATTCAGCGTTCCCAGGGCACCGACCAAGCGGAGCGGAGCGTTTTCTTGAATGTACATGGGCACGACGAGCGTTCCGACACCTGGCGCAACAAGCGAGACAACAACGAAACCAAGAACAAAACAAAAGGGGGGGGGAAGGGGGCAGGCAAAGGTGAGCACAAGCGAGAGAAGAACAAGAAAAAAAAATCAAAACTCTTTGGTACTGACCGCTTGCAATACCGACAAAGAAACGACCCGCCGCAATCATGCCCCAAGAGGTCGCGAAGGCGAGGAGGCCGCCACCCAAAAAGTAAATGACGGCGTTGAGCATGAGTGTTGGCTTACTGCAAAGTAGAGCAAAAAACAACAAAATAAAACAAAACCGCGAAGAGCGGAGGTTGAGCATCAACGACGCATGGTCTTTCGGGGGCGAACAGTGAGCAAAGCAACCACTCACCGGCCGATGCGTTCAACGGGCCAACTGGCACCAAGGGCGCCAATCAGACCACCGATGCAAAAGATGGACACGCAAACCGACCATTCAAAGTCGTTATAGAGAATGGGGAATTCTCTTTCAAGGGGCTGCATTGGGAAAAAAAAAAGGGAGCATTGGGTGAGCGTTGTCCTGATGATTAAGGAAAACAACTTGAGCAACAGATTCAAGTCTCTTACAAATTGAGCGTTGCTGATGACACCAATGTTGTAGCCATAGATGAAGGCAGAGCAGCAAGCGGCGGCCACTGACGCTGCGAGACGTAGCGTGAATGCGCCATACTGCAACGGAACGAGATATACAGGTTGCACAATGCGTGAGTGTGTGAGCAAAGATGAATGACAGCGAGCGAAGACGAGGTAACGAAAAAACACAAACCGAAAAAAAAAAACGAAAAAAAAAAAACGTGAGTCACACCTTTGACACCGACGTGAGCGTGAGCCCCGCTGTCTGCCCATTGCACTCGCCACTCCCCCCCCATCTCCATGCATCCGTCGTACTGTAGCCACACACACACACACACGGTGTCCTGCGCCTGACCAGCCCCAGCTCAGCTGTCGCACCGGTGGATTTGATTTTCGAATGATGCGGGTTTGTAGGATTGGAACAAGGAAAAAGAACCGCCGAGTTTAGTCAAGTAAGGTCCCGCACAGTGTGCGCTTCCCCAGCGTGGTGCGTATGGGTGTGCGTAGTGTGTTTCGCTCAAAACCCCCTTGCTTCCGGCCTCTTGTCTGTGTCTCAGAGTCGTCCTCCGAACAAGACAGACGAACGAGCAACCAAAAAAAAAAAAAAAAAAAAAAAAAAACGAAAAAAAAAAAAAATAGCTCGCAAGTGGCTGAGTCGCTGGTTCTGGCGTGCGCATGTGCCTGGTCTTGTGGGATCAGCCAGAATCACGCCCCCACCTCAATGCACGCCTCAGTACACACCTCGACCTTCAGTTGCCATTCCACTGCTCAAGGGCCCCCGATAGCAATAAATAGGGGCAAGAGAATGGTGAAATGCGCGCATTTCGATAAAAAATAAAAAATAAAAAATTAAATTTTTTGTTTTTAACTTTGCAGAGAAGCGAGCCAAGATGAGAACGGCATCGCAGACGGGTGTACAGAGCGAGTGAGCGCGATTGGAATGGGCGAGTGCGAGGGGGGGGGTGCGTGGGTGCGTGGGTGAGTGTGAAGCAGGAGCGAGAGGGGCGTACGGTGTCCGGGAGCGGCGCAGAGCCAGGTGCAGAGAGCGAAGCCTTCGCTTGGGACGCGCGGGGGATTAGTGGGTCGGACGAGCGTTGCTTGGGGGCCGAGGCTGCCTGGGGCGCGGCAGGGTGATCGTCGTGGTGATCGTCGTCGTCGTGGTGATCGTCACTCATGGCAGAAAGAGAGAGCGAGCGAGCGAGAGAGAGAGAGATCAAAGGAGTGAGTGAGATCCAAGAAACGTGAAACAAGCAGACTGCATCTTACCTCACCGCAAAAACCTCACCTTCAACTTTGCGCACTTTCGGCATCACACATCGCATCATCCTTCAAGCCATTTGGCCCGTAACAGATAGCTTGAAAGCACGCGAGTGATTTGCAGCAATTTGCATTGAGTGTGATGGTTGTTGTTTTGAAGAAGCGAGATCAATTGATGCACGTTATGGCGTCGGAAAAGAAGTTGCTGACGACAATGCGAACCCCACAACTGAGAGCTCGATTCAAAACCAAAACAAAAAAGCCAGTCGTTTTCTCTTTGAGCATACTGTTTGAAAGATGGCCGGAGCTGAAACATGCGTCCGGATGCTCGTGGACAACGAACAAGGGCTGGACGAGTCTGCCTGCACCAACGACGAAAACCAAAGTGAAAGCACACACCAGCCAATGTCATCCAACGAGGTCGAGGAGGACGTGAATGACGAGGACGGTGTTGACGACGAGCAGTCGGCGCTTTTGCTCGGCGACGACATTGTGAGCGAGGAGCGCAGCCTGCACGCCCGCTCGGTCGAGGAGGACAAGCAAATGCGTGCCCAGGTCAGTATATGCCACTCCTGATCATGCCAAGTGGGCGGCCCGGTTGGTTGGTGGAGCTCGTTGCGAACCTTGCGCGTTTTGCTCGACTTTTCCCGCCAAATTCTTGCCAGCTCATTTCTGGTTGATGCCGCACCCACAGGCTTTGTCAGAGCACGACAAGACGCTGGCAACACAAAAGCTCGCGCGGCTACACTTTTTGCTGGAAAAGACCCAGCTGTACTCGGACTTTCTGCTGGACAAGCTCAAGCAAGCGAGCCAAGCTGCCATAGCGGTGGCCGAAACGCCGCCGCCTCGCACGCGATCCACCCCAGGACGAGCGTCAGTCAAGCGATCATCAAGCACCAGCTCGACTGCTGCTGCTCCTTCTCCTCCTCCAAGCAAGCGCGTCCGCAGAGCTGCCGAATCAACGGATGCGGCTGAAGCTGAGACTTCCGCACCAGCTCAGCCCGCTCTGCTCGTGGGAGGCCAACTCCGACCATATCAGCAGCGCGGCTTGGCTTGGCTCATCTCTCTGTTTGAAAACGGGCTGAACGGCATCTTGGCCGATGAGATGGGCCTCGGCAAAACGCTGCAATGCATTGCCTTCATTGCGCACCTCGTCGAGAAGGGTGTGCAAGGCCCGTTCTTGGTTGCCACGCCGTTATCAACGCTTGCCAACTGGATTAGCGAGCTGGCACGCTTCACCCCGGGCATTCCAACCATCTTGTACCACGGCCAGGCTTCCGCGCGTGCCGAGTTGCGCAAGCAGTTCACAGCCCTGCACCCAGTCACAATTCCAGGCTCGAGCAGCAGGGTCAATTGCCTGCCCGTTGTTGTCACGTCCTACGAGCTGATCATGAACGACCGCAAGTTTCTGCAAAAGCATCTCTGGAAGTACATCATCATTGACGAGGGGCACCGCATCAAAAACCTCAACTGTCGTCTCATCCGCGAGCTCAAGCTCTACGACTCTGTCAACAGGCTCCTTCTGACTGGCACTCCGCTGCAAAACAACTTATCCGAGCTTTGGTCGCTGCTGAACTTTTTGCTGCCCGACATTTTCGACGACCTTGATGCGTTCCAGCAGTGGTTTGACTTTTCGGGCGTTGTGGACGATGCAGAGGGCTGCGAGCGCTCCTTCCTGCAAGAGCACGAGAGTGATAAAATCCTGCAAAAGCTGCATCACATTCTCCAGCCATTTTTGCTTCGGCGGCTCAAAACCGACGTCGAGACATTGTTGCCTCCCAAGAAGGAAATGCTCGTTTACGCCCCACTCACAGAGCTGCAGCGCAAGTATTATGCACAGACTCTTGACAAGAGTATTATCGAGATGATTGCTCGGGAGAATCGCGAGGCTAGCAGCAGCAGCAGCAGCAGCAGCAGCAGCAGCAGCAATAGTGGAGACGGTGCTGCTTCGTCGTCGTCGTCGTCGTCGTCGTCGTCGTCGTCGTCGTCGTCGTCAGCTTTCGCAGCATCCCCGCCACCAACGACACCTGCTGGTAGTAGTGGCCGCAACCTCCCACGCGCTGCCCGTCGCACAAGCAAGTACTCTGAGATTGCCGAGGACGCCGAGTTTGCGTTTGGCCTCGAGAGCTCGCACGATGTCCGCGACGCCGTCATGCCCCGCACGCCGACCGTCAAGACTCCCGCCTCCAATACCAGCATCAAGCTGCAAAACGTGCTCATGCAACTCCGCAAGTGCTGCAATCATCCGTATCTCTTGAACTTTCCTCTGGACTCTGCCGGGCTTCCACGAGTGGACGAAGAGCTGATCCAAGCCTGCGGCAAGCTTCGCCTCCTCGACGAGCTGCTTCCAGCCCTGCGACGCAAAGGCCACAAGGTGCTCATCTTTTCTCAAATGACGCGCATGCTCGATCTGCTCCAGGACTACTTTGAGCTGCGAAACACTGCCGTCTGCCGTTTGGATGGCGCGGTCTCGCTGGCCGATCGCCAGGAACAGGTGCGAGGAGGAGGAGGAGGAGGACGATGAGGAGGATGATGAGGGGGCTGGGTCGACTCTGAGAGTGGCTCAAGCGAGTTTGAGGATGTGCAATTTCAATGTTGTTGTTGCACCTTGAATTTTTTTGTCAACACAGATTCGTTCGTTCAACTCAGACCCCGAAGTCTTTGCGTTCTTGCTCAGCACACGAGCTGGCGGTCTTGGCATCAACCTCATCGCCGCTGACACTGTGATCCTTTACGACAGTGACTGGGTATGCTTGCAGGACGATGGATGGGTGGTTCCTTTCCATTTCGGGATTTGCTGAGCTTTGCTGGCTGTGTTTCGCTTTGCAGAACCCGCAAGCCGATCTGCAAGCACAAGATCGCTGCCACCGCATTGGCCAAACAAAGCCTGTGATTGTCTACCGCTTGGTCACGGCCAACACGGTTGAGCAGCGCATCATTGAGCGCGCAATGGCCAAGCGCAAGCTCGAAAAGCTCGTTATTCATGAGGGTATGTTTTGCGTCTGCTGCATGCAACGTTTGAATAACATGGAGCACTCTTGCTGACCTTCGTCCTGCCTTCTGCCTGCGGCAAGGTCACTTTAAAAATTTGGCGCAAGCGACCAAAGCCATTCAAGTGGACGACATTGTCGAACTCTTGCATTCCGACGACCGTGTCACCTTCAAGACGACGGATACCGACACTGCAAAGATTCTGTCGCGCGAGGAGCTCAGTCGTTTGATGGATCGCACCAACATGAGCGTGTAAAGAAGCTGTAAAGAGGGCTTCATTTTGTCAAAAAAAAAAAATACACAAAGTCTTTCTGGATTGATGTTGATACAGTATTTGCCTCTCAAAAGCACACTGCAATGTCAAGCGGAAGATCACTTGAAATCGTTATGTGGTCTTTCGGATTTGCTGGTTGACGAGGTCTTGTGCTCGCGGTGCGCCTGCTCGTGAACGTGAAGGAACAAAACAAAAAAAAAAGGACAAACCAGGGTTCAATGCCAGAATGTCAATAGCGACGAAACTGCCCTGCGCCAGCACAGCCACATCCCCCCGGGGTGGTGATGCGACATTCAAACAAGCACTGAGATTTTCGTACTGAGTGCATTCTGAACCGATTGAGCAGTGATGTCGAGCGAGTTTTGTTCGTGAGCACCATAGCTTGCGCCAGACGTCGGGTTGTGAGGACCGCACCAAACCTACAAAGGCGAGCAATAAAATCCATCGCGTTTGAGTACTTGTTTGGCACAAAGTGATTGTTCACACCAGCTTTTGAAACACACAGGAAAACGAAGGGAAAAAAAAGAAAAAAAAAAGAAAAAAAAAAGAAAGGAAAAGAATTTGGCTCAAACACACAAACGACGCAATGGTTGCAATGTTTGGCGACTTTGTAGTTACCTTGTCATTGGTGTACTTGTAGTTGGACACGTTCAGCGGCCAGGTGCAGCCGGGCTGGGAGCATCTGCACAGAGACAGAAAAAGGTGAGCTTGAAGCCATACTGTTGCATCCACATTCTTTCATCGCCTCGCAACCCCCATCATGGTCGACGGCGCGCACCACCAGCAAGCAAGACTAGGCTTACTTGAAGCAGCTCTTGTGGAAGACTTCGACGTTGCGGGGAGGCCCGACGGTGATGGCCTCGAGCTGGTAGACGGTCTTCTCGCAGCGAGCACACTTGCCAACAGATGCCATTCTTGGTAAGTATCGCAAACAACGGGAATCGATGTGGAAGTAGAGTGAGCATCCGGTTTGGCACGAGCTGGGTTCAGTGAATGCAAAGTCAAAGCCAATGTTGGAGAAAAGCCGATTGTTGGTTGTTTTGATATTTTTCTGATTGAGACAAAGAGACAAAACGGAATAACAAAAAGCATGCAAGCACAAACATACACGAGCAACAACAGCAAGCCAGAAACAACAAGACATATTAACAAGAAAGAAAGAAAGAAAAAAAAAACAGTCAACGGACAAAATGAAGAGAAAACAAAGATTCGACAGTAATAGAAAACGGTTAAGAAACATTCACATTACACGGATCGAAGGCATGGGCCCGCACATAGACTGCTGGAACTGCACAACCGTAGTGCGCAGTTGGGCACGCACTTGGGTTCGAGTGGTGGCAGGGCTGCCGAGAGCGCAGGCAGCGACAGTGGCGGCAGTGGATCGGGCAAACTGAGCGAGAGCCTTTCGGTTGTCGGGGTTGACAAAGAGCCAGTCAGCCTTGGCAATGGTGAAGACGACAACAGTGTTGGCACGGGTGGCGGCAGGGAGCAGTGGGTAGGCCTCGACCAGGGTTCGGACGTGCTCCTCGGACGAGCACCACACGTGCAAAATTTGCTTGCTCCAGTTCTCGAGCGAGTTCAGGTTGGCGTTGACGATACCGTTGAGCTTCTTGCTCAGGAGCTTGTGGGCGTCGTCGAGGGTGAAGGCGCGGTTGAAGTTCATGGCGCGGGTGACGGAGACACCGACGAGCGAGCCAAACATCCGGCACGTGTAATCGGTGATGGACCCGCCGTGGGGGAAGTATCGGACCTCCATCTCAGTCTTGTGCAGGGTCGCGCCAAAGCAGCGGTTGATGACTTCGAAGGACAAGACCTCAGACTCGACGGACGAGCCACCGGCGTTGGGGCAGTCGCGGATGCGTCGGGCGGACTCGGAGAGCTGCATCCGGCGGTAGTCGCGGAAGGGGTCAAACCAGGTGACAACAAGACCGGCTTCCTCGTTCGACGAGACGACACGCTGCATGTAGGCAATGGACGCAGTGTCGACAGGGACTTCGAGCGAAAAGTTCTCGGACAAGTGCACGCGGTTGGTGGTCGTGTTGCTGATGTTGATGTTGTTGGTGTTGGTAAAATCGGCAGTCGGGGTAACGGTGGTAGAGGCGGTGCGTTGGGTAACAGTAGTTTGGGTGCTCACATGACGGTTGGTGGTAGTAGTAGTAGTGGTTGTGGTATTAACTTGTAGTTTTGATGGGTGGGTTGGGGGTGCGGGAAGCGAGTCGGATTCAAGGGAGAAGATGGTAGCCCGGGCCGTCAATAGCGCCATCACCGGAGGCGTCGGCAGAGTCGCCACAGCCGTCGCTGGACTCGGAGAGCGAGCCAGAGCCAGAACCGGTGCAGGTGGAGTCGGCCATGTCGACGGAGGCGTTGGTGTTCTTGTTGTTGCGGGCGTTGTTGTTGTTGTTGTTGTTGTTCGAGGCAGATTCGAACGACGACGCTGAGATCGCCGACTCGAGTGATGATGCTTTGGAATGAGCAATGCGACGACGGTTGGTACGGAGAGCGTTGAAACCGCGAGCTGATAGCTCAGACTTGGCACTCAAGGCCGACAAGGTCCCGACCGACGGGGTCAATCCGGACGCCAGCGCAAAGGCCAGCGCGGTGGTCGAAGGGCTCGCAGCATTGTTCTTGTTCATCGTGTTCCTCTTGGACTTTTTGTTGTTGATCTTCTTTTGAAACTTGGACTTGACATTGTACACGTTACGCTTGTTGCGTATCCTCAATGCGGTGTTTGCAGCCCTGAAGTACATTTTTTGTTTTCTTGTGGTTGTTGTGGTTGTTCAGAAAAAAAAAATGACGAAATCCGGACTGCGCGGTTACGAAATGGTGGTAAGCTTGAAAAGCGACAGGGCTGCTTCTTTCGAGGGGGAGGCGGGGAAGCGAGTGGTTGGGACGAAGGCAGGGTCAACTCTGAGCTCTGTGTGTGGTGTGGCTCAGACGCTGTGTTCTTGGCGCCGCTTCTTCGTTGCAGTAGTCAGCAGGGTTGTCGAAATAGACACAAGACTGAGCTTTGTTGCTTGTTTTGGGCGAGGGCTATTTGAATGCAATTTGGTGTCTGACGCAATGTTTGAAAAATCAAACACCGAAACTGATGATGTCATTTTGTGTTGTTGTCGTTTCCAGCAGCTTCTATTTCGTGGTCGGATCTGAGCTGGCAACTCGGCAGCGATGAGCACTCAGTGTGGGTTTGATTGTGTGTTTTTGTGGCACGGCAGAGAAGGGGGTGGGGTGGGGCGCGGAGGATGGCGATGCGGGGATGAATGCGTTTGTTTTAGCGCAAATCGAGTTCGCTGCCGATTGACGTGTTGTCGGCGACTGCGCAGACCGAGTGCGTGTCATGTCTTGCTTTTGCTCTGTCTTTAGGTGTGCATTCAGCGCCCAAAGCGAGCCATCTGCCACGGGGATATGACGAGATGCAGGTGAGGTGACGGGTGAAGTTTTTTTTTTTTTCGTTGTTCGTTTATTTTGCCTTTTTGGCCCTTCGATCGCCATCCTACCCCCAATAATCTTCGCAGGTGCCCTCGCAGCTCACTCAAGCGCAGTGATGACTTGCTCTGGTTTTCGTTGCCGTTCATTTTGAGCGTTGAGTTGTTGTTTGCAACATTTCTATCGATTTGTTGAGTTTTTTTTTTGCTTTCGTCCATTGTGGATTGCCAAGACAACCCTCGTTACCCGCGTATTGACAACACATGCTCGTGCACTGCTTCTGCTTTTATTGGATGACTATTCCGAATTTCATTTCACCCTTTCATCCTTCTGACTTCCAAATGCAGAGCTTGAGCTCAAACTCTCAGTCTTTATCTTTTCTTCCCTCTTGTGACGATGCGCACTTTCGCTTGCCTCGCTCTTCTCGCTCTGCTCGCCACCGCGGCGACTGCCGTGCCCGTCGACCCCATCGGCGACATGGTCGACCACATCAACAGCCTCAAGACCACCTGGGTTGCCGAGCGCCCCACCCGCTTTGGCTCCTTCGACGAGGTTGCCCGTCTCTGCGGTGCCCTCGAGACCCCCGAGGACCAGCGTCTTCCCCTCAAGGTTGCCCCCATCGCCGAGGCCATCCCCGACACCTTCGACTCGCGCACCAACTGGCCTGCCTGCCCCACCATCAAGGAAGTCCGTGACCAGGCAAGTTCACACAGTGGAGGATGAAAACGAAAAAAACAAAGAAAAAAAATGTCACGCTTGCTTTTTTTTTTTTTTTTTTTTTTTTTTTTTTTCGGTTCTGTTGAGTTGCGAGTCATGATGCTCTCCTGCTACAGTGTGACGAGCGTGTGGCTGTGGTTCTTTGAGCTCGGCGTTTGTTGCAGTCAAGCAGCACAACAGCAAAACAGCAACAAACAGCCACATCAAACACAGCCACCTTAAAAAAAAAAAAAAATCTTTGAATAATTTGATGAGTCTCATGTGACTCACACCTCATGACATTGCTTTTTTTAAAATGGCCAACCTTACGACGCACTAACTAGTTTGCCTTGTTTGCCCGTGACTTTGCTTGCCTCTGCGCATTCTTTCCTCTTTTGCATTTTTTTTTTGTTTTTTTTTTTTTTTGGTTTCCGCGTCCTCCTCTCGTCGGTCTGCGCATTCGATGCGAATAGTCTGCTTGCGGCAGCTGCTGGGCTTTCGGTAACGCCTTTTTGCGCAATGCCGCGCGTGCTTTGAAGTGTGGAAGAGGGCCAAAAGCTCACCCTTTTGTGATGTTTGCTTCCATGCGTTATTAGGCGCCGTCGAGTCCATGTCCGACCGTATCTGCATTGCCTCCAACGGTATGTCCTCTCTCAACCATGTCCTTGCTCGTTGTTGTTTCGTTTTTATGCCGCATGTCTGACTTTTTGTTGCTTTTTTTGTTGCTTTTTTTTTTTGTTTTTTTTTTGTTTTGTTTTTTGTTTCTTTCCTTTCAGCCACCAAGATCGTCCGTCTCTCCGCTTCCGACCTCCTCTCGTGCTGCACCTCGTGCGGTGATGGTTGCGACGGTGGCCAGCTTGGCCCGTCCTGGGACTACTACAAGAACAAGGGCATTGTGACTGGCTACCTCTACAACACCACTGGCTACTGCAAGCCCTACGACTTCCCCGCTTGCGCCCACCACGAGGCCAGCCCCGGTATGCATGTTCTGCCTTGATATTTGGGGGGGGAGGGGTGTTTGTTTTCTCTGTTGCTTTCCTCTGTCACTCACTCTTCTCGAAAACAACAACAACAAAAAACCCAGACTACCCCGACTGCCCCTCCACCGACTACAGCACCCCCAAGTGCACCAAGTCCTGCGTTGCCGGCTACACTGCCAACACCTACACTGCCGATCTCCACTACGGCCAGTCCAGCTACTCTGTTGGCCGCACTGACGCTGCCATCCAGACCGAAATCCTCAACCACGGCCCCGTTGAGGCTGCCTTCACTGTCTACTCTGACTTCCCCACCTACCGCAGCGGTGTCTACAAGCACACCTCCGGCTCCGTCCTCGGTGGCCACGCCATCTCGATCGTCGGCTGGGGCACTGAGTCTGGCTCCCCCTACTGGCTTGTCAAGAACTCGTGGAACCCCTCCTGGGGCGATGGCGGCTTCTTCAAGATCCTCCGCGGTGACTGCGGCATCAACAACGATGTTGTTGGTGGCCTTCCCAAGCTCGCCTAAGCGATTTTCCCGCAATTTCGCTTGAATCTGCCTTTTGCTCTCCGAGGGCCCCCCCCTTTTTTTTTTGTCTCGTTGTCTTTTTCATCAAATCTCGTCGGTCTCTGCTCTCTTGTTGATTTGATTTGTTGAGTTTTGAAAAGAAGCGAAATTGACAAAATTGAGCAAAGTGATGAAGGTTTGACAGTTTTTTTTTTTTTGAAACCAAAAGCAGCGTGAGGCTTTCCCCCCCCCCCAACACACACACAACTTCAACGATAGTGCTCCGACAGACGTTTTCTTGGGGGTCGGCTTGCTCGCGTAGATTTGGCGAGAGAGTGTCGAGCGAGTGCGCGGCCGTCTTCTGCAGGGAGCGGAGATGGCGAAACGGACGATCGGCGTTGTGCTATTTCAGCAACTCGTCGGCCGCCCTTCCCCGCTGCCCCCTCCGCTGACAACAACCACGGCAACAACCATCACGACTTGATCTCTCACCCAGTACTAGTGTCGGAAGGAGGACTGCACCGGTTGCTTGTGACATTGACTGGTTTTTGGCGGGTTTTTTGTATTTGTATTTTTTTTTTTTGAAAAACGGTTTGAAACACTTTCCGATTCACTCACTTTCGAACCTTAAACGCGCTCTCTCAGTCCTTCTCCTCACAGTCAAGGCTGCTCTACACGGGGACTCGTATCACAGCAACAAGACAAAAACCGGGGATACATATCACATCTGCTCGAAAATGGCCAATCCTCAAGGAGAAAGCAATCCTGCAACTGCTGTTGCCGAAACCGCTTGGTTTTCCGACACAATCGCACTGGCCCAGCCGCAGCTCGTGCAGCTGTCGCCCAATGGGCAGTTTGTTGCGACGGCAGTCCAAACGCGCCTAGTTGTGCGCTCCACAGAGTCGATGGAGACGGTGGCATTGTTCGCATGCGGAGACGAAATCGACGCGATTGAATGGGCGGCGGACTCTGTGCACATTCTGGCTGCGTCGCTGAAAAAGGGCAGTCTCCAAGCATTCCGCCTGCAGTCGACCTGGTCTGCTCGAATCGATGACGAGCTTACCGGCATCTCGGCGTGCCGCTGGGCTCCTGATGCAAGCGCTGTTCTCTGCACGAGCAACTATTCGGTAAGCGCCGCACCCGCTTTTTAAAGCGCAGCGCACTCATGCGTACACCGGAACGAGCGACTCACTTTCAATCACTGCACCGATCAGATGCGAATTATCGTGTGGCACATTGCAACCGGGGTTGCGTACCAAATCAAAAACCCCAAATCCGCCTCTGGTACGTTTCCCTCCCCCCCCAAAAAAAAACACCACTTTGCTCGGGGTCAAATCGAACAGCAATGATGCTCACCTGACGATGTGCTGTATGCTATGGCAATACGAATGCAGGCATGTCCTTTTCGCCGAACGGCAAGCTCTTTGCCATGCTGCAGCGCACAGATTGCTCTGACACTCTGGAGATCTTTAGCACCACCACTTGGCAGCTGCTTCAGGTATGTGATTGTCGCCCCTTCCTCCCTTCATCCCCCCCCCACACACACCCCATGACACTGTGAACACACTCGGATTCCTCTCCCAGCTAAACTGGTTCCGCATGCAAATCGCTCACACCTCTCTCTCACCCAACCTCAGCGATTTGCGATCGACCTGAGTGATGCTGCAGATTTCGTCTGGGCTGCCTCGAGTGGATGTGTGTTCATTTGGAACAGCAGCACCAAGTTTGCCATGATGTGCTACGGGCTCGAAGGCACTGTCATGTGGCGGTACAACGCAAACGATACCGCGCTCGGCATTCGAAGCGCGATCTTGTCATCGGACGGCCATGTTCTCGCCATCGGCAGCTGCGACGATAAAGTAATTTTGATAGCGGGAGCCCAGCATCGAGGTCAGACGCGTTTTGTGTACATGTCCTCACGTTTGATTCCGGCGTCATGAAATTTAGGTTCGTCTGGTTAACACGCTCACCGGAGCGTTGATTGCCGAGTTGGATCACTCTCTGGGATCGTTTGTTCCAACCACCGTACGTCGCACACACAAATCTGCTTATGGCCCATTTTCAGTCAAGACGCTCATTGTTGTTTTTTTCTGTTGGGTGCTTTTGCTTTGTCGTCAGACTGTCGTTCGAGAACAAGTTGGAGATGCTTCTCATTCAGCAGTCTCGAGTCAATTTGTCTCTGCGAGTGCTCGTGCTGCAGCAATTGCCACAAGTGGACCTTGTAAGAGTTGCAATCGCCTTTTGTCAACTGCTCTCTGCGCTCGCGGGTCCACATGCGCTCTGACGGATGGCTCTGGAACTGATCTTGTTTGGTCATTCTTTGGCAACTATCAGATAAAGTTGATCGAAATGCAATCACCTCGTTGCCGTCCAGGCCAGAACCGGCGGCGTCCTCTTCTTCGACAAAGCCCGCACAACCGGTGAAGAACGGCGTTGGCTGGTTGCTGTTTGATTCTGGCCACAATCTTCTTGCCACGAAGCATGGTAGGTGCCTACACAGGATGGTGGATTGAGCAAAAATCAAACAAACAAACAAACAAACAAACAAACAAACAAACAAACAAACAAACAAACAAACAAACAAACAAACAAACAAAAAAAAAAAAAAAAAAAAAAAAAGAAGCCCTCAGAGCGCTGACTGGTCTGTGTGTTAGACAACTATCCCAGCGTGATTTGGATTTGGAGCACCGTGGAAGCAGAGTTGCTCGCTTGCGTCATTAGCAATGCTCCTTGCCGAGGCGCGCAGTGGCACCCGTCTCTTTCGCAACTGGGCTTGGTCGCTTCCTCGAACAAGCTCTTTGTGTGGAGTGCACGGGAAGAGCCACGCACTGTTCTGCTCAATGACGGTAAGTGTGCTGTGGCGGTTTGGCGCAATCGTTGCTCAAGTTCTCATCTCACAAACCAAAAAAAAAAAAAAAACAAAAAAAAAAAAAAAAACACAATGATTCCCATGCATGGCAGAAACCTTCAAGGTCCAGAGCATTGCTTGGAGCGCAGATGGAACCTTTGCTCTTCTGGCGGCCGCGGATCGATGGTGCTTGTCTTGGCCGACTTCGCAAAATGCAGCAACTGCACAACAGCGCCAGCAGCAGCAGTCTGCTCCGACGGCATCGGTGGGCCCCAACAGCAAATTTGCTGCCGTCTCAACTGGCATTCCGACCGAAAACCGAGCAATCAACGGAAGGACTGCCACTCAGTTTGCGCCGACCACCAGAGTCCCCACCGGCACCCGCAGCAGCAGCAGTGTTGCGTCGAGCACTTCAGGTCCCAGTGCGCGCACAGTTTCCTCGTCCGCTCGACCTTTGTCGACGTCTGCGAATCCCACAGGAACACGACGCGTGTAATGGCACGGTTTGGTGCTCGTTGGTGCGTTGCAGTCCGACGATGACGAGAGGAGAATGCAGAGATTTGTTCGCCCAACTCCAATCGCAATCGTGCATCTATTTTCCAGACCTTGTAGATTGGGGGGGGGGCAGGTTCAGCTTGTCGAAGCACTGTCGAGATGTGCTGTATTACAGGATGGGATCCAACTTGTTGCCGGTTGCAGTGAACATCTCGCACGCTCGCAGATTCGTTTCTTGAATTGTTTCAGACCGTCTGAGCATTTTCATAGCCTTCTTCCCAACATGGACTTCTTCACTTCTGAGACGTCACTCCTTTTTTTATTTTATTTTTTATTTTTTTCTTTTCTTTCCATTTTCCACTTCTGAAACACTCAATGGGGTCGACGACAGCAGAGGCGCTGGGCCGGATGCTGCAGGACCTGCACGGCACCCTCGAGCAGACCGGCCCAACGAGTGCGCAAGACGCCAAAACCATCGCGAGCGACCTGGCCAGCATGTGTCTCGGCACCCTGTCTGAGGTTGATCTCTGTATGTGAAACGCGCGCAAAACGAGTGGATTGCAAAAAAACTCCTGACGACGATCAAGCTCTGCAAGAACCCGGTTGTGCACCAAGTACAAAGTCACACGTCGATTCGATAAACTGGACGACGACGGTTTGTTAGGGGGGGGGGGCGGCGACGCATGGGGATTTGAGCGAGAAGTCCAGGGGGAAAACGAACGAATGGCGTTCTGCAGATGAGCGGCCGAGACACGCTTTTGTGCCGGGTCGCCGTGGGGCTTGGCCGAGCTGCCATCACAAGCCAGAGATGTGCTGCTGCACGGTCATGCACATGCACCTTCTTCCCTCCTTGCTGCTGCTCGTCCCGTTTTCGAGTTCAGCGCACTTGATGACTGCGCCATTTGTTTTTCTTGCCAATTTTTTTTTTTTCGTTTGTTTTCGCGCCAAAACCTCTGTCGTTCTCGTCGCTTGCCTCTTTTGCCTGCCTCTTCGCTTGCCTCTGGTTGTCGCGATGGATCCATTGACGACTGTTGTTGACCAACATCTTGCCGCTTGTTGTTTGGCGGATTCCAGCTCTCTGCATTTCCAAAATCTTCAGCAAGACGGACGGCATCCTCAAGTATCTGCGCGACTGCAAGTTTGACGAGTACGAGTCGGCCAAGGAGGAGCTGTTCCGCTTTCTGGGTGCGTTTGTCAAGCGGCACGGCCGACGTTTATTGCCGCATGCGGTGGAAATTAAGGTTGGGAACCAAAGCACTGTGCCAAATTGTGATGGAATTGTGCAGCACTCGGCTCACACTTCAAAACTGAAACACTTGCGTTGGTCTTGCGTTGGTCCCGGTCTGTCCCAAACCACTCCTTTTGTTTTTGGGAGGTAGAATGTGGCAATGAGTCTCTTCAGTCGCGACAAACGGAGTAGAGTGAAGAACGCCTCGTTCAAGCCTCTGCGACACGTGCTGGAACTCAACCTGCGAAGCGAATTTGGCGACCAGCTCAACGTACCAGCAATGATTGACAAGTATTGGAAATCCCTCTTTGAAAAGCACCAACCGACGGTGCAGTCCAACCTGTTCCAGCTCAACGGGCTGTTTGCCCAATTCTTTCCGCTGGAAATGGCCGCCAACACTGCTCGCCTCCTGACGATTCTCCTCAGCGCGTTGCAGCAAAACATGACGGACAGCAAAAAGCCAGACACCCAGCTTATTGTTGGCAGTCTGAAAGGGATTGCCAGTCTTCTGGTGAACTTCCCTCAGCCAAGTTCTGGTGGCTCGGCTCACGCCGTGTCGATCTACAGGTTTGTGCGCATGGCCATCCAGCCATTGCAGTCTTACACTCGATACGACATTCCGAAAGGTATGACCCAGATTGCCAAGTCTTTTTTTTTTTTTTTTTTGTTTGCTGCGCTGGACATTTCCAGGACTGGCTGGCGTGACAGACCCTTTTGAATGCTGAACCACTTTTTTTTGATGATTCTGCTCGCAGCTGGTCTCCGTCTCATTTCAATGCATGCAATGCAGTTCAAGGAGTTTCTTGCCGACGATTACACTGTCGTGCATAATCATGTGAGCGCGTGGTGCCAGCATAAAAACCCAAAAGTCCGGACCGCCAGCTTTGCGGCCTTTGAAGCTGTTCTGCAGGCCATCGCCGCCGTGATTGTGCGCCGTGACGGAACTGGCGCAAACGATGGTGTCATGTTTCAGGTAACGCAGAGACAAATCACACCTCATCAATTTTTTTTGTTCGGAAAAACAGAAAAAAAAAACCCGGAAAAAGTACAAAATGCTCAAAAAAGCTCCAACGCACTCACTTGCTTTGCTTGCTTCCCTTGTGTCTCTTGCGATTGTAAAATGCCAGTTTTTCGTCACGGCCTTTCGAGACATTATGAATGCCAAAGACAGCGAGCCGCGCGACTTGGCACTCGCTGTGCGTGGCTATGGGTACTTTGCGGCGCCATGCCGCATCTTTTTAAACCAGGCCGATGTCAAGTTCATGTTTGACGAAGTTGTGCAACGGAGCGAGCAACTGTACACCAATGTGACGCTGCAAGTGGTGGACGAAGCCAGTCTGTCCCTGGTACCGAGCTACATTAATGCCCTTGCCAACATTGTCATGCAGCTGGACGAGTTGGGCGATCCGCAGCTACGAGCTTTGGCGCGGTTGGCCATTTTCTTGTTTGAGGTCTTCCCTCGGGTGCACTACAAGCAGCGCGATCCTTGCTACTTTGCAATCATGCTGCTCTTCAGCTCACTCTATCCCAAGGGTGCCCTTCTCCGCACATTTTTGGCCGATGTCGGTACGTGCTTGTTTTGGTTGGCTTTGGGTGTTCTGAGAATGGGCGGGGGGGGCGGGGTTTGTTCCTGCGTTGGCCTAACGTGTCATCTCCCCCTTCCTTCCTTTCTCTGTTCCTCTGTTGAACCTCGTTGCCGCCAGTCTATCAAGGCGTACTGCGAACATGTTCGTTGCCACAGGCAGCGGATGGGAATAGCGACGAGGTGGCCGATGCAATCTCAAATGAGGAGGAAGGCTCCTATGGTCATTACCAGCTTCTCTGGACGTCCTTGTTCGATACGCGTTACCTTCGCAGCGACATTGAGCACATGCGGCCACAGGACCGAGAGGAGCTCTACACGGCCATGTATGATGAATTCATCTCGTCCCTACTGCGCATCCTCGGTCGGCTGGACATGACGGTCTTGATGGTGCCTCCGGCGTCCTCCTCCTCCTCCTCCGCCGATGCCGGTGCCGCTGCCCTGCCGCCTGCCCGCGACCAAATTGCGCTTGGGGTCCTGGCAAAGGACTTGCACATTTTTGTCAACCTCGTGAGCTTTTGCAAGGCCGTGCTACCCGTCCTTCGCCCCGAGTTGTTTGAGCGTTGGGCGTTCATTTTTTCTCGTGAGCTGATTGTTCTCGCCAACTCTACTCCGCTCGTGTCGGGGTTTTACCGGCTGCTTGCCGTCACCATGTCGCTCTGCGAGTCACTTGGCTATTTCAACGACATTGATCCCGGTGTGGTGGATGCCCTTGTCCGCAATACTCGCGTCGACCCACCGGGTGCCTCGCTGGCAGCCAGCCGACAATCTGCGACACGTGCTGGTGAAAGTGACTCCGAGCTTGGCGCGGAAATTGCTGCTCTCGAGGTCGACGCTGATTTCGCCGACCGTCGGCCCTCCAAAGGCCGTCGCCATCCGGGTGGTGCCTCGAGCTCCGCTCAGCCTTCCACTCAACAGGCTCCCAAACAGCACCGTGACGACAACGACGACGCCACGGATGTGGACACGGACGAGGACGATGACGTTGTCGAAGCGAAACCGCCCCCGAAACGGAACAAGGCCTCCCAACAACGCGCGGACGATGAGGACGCCATGAAAGTGGATGTCAAAGAGGAGAGCTCACCGGCCCAGTCGTCGTCGTCGTCGTCGTCGTCGCCGTCGTCAGGACCCAGCCAAACAGGCGATGTTGTCATTTGCTTTGTCGTGATTCGCAAGTTTGTCAAGGAACTCTTGCTGCGCCTGCGCACGTACAAGGACGAGTTGCTCGGCGCGAGTCTCGAGTTTCTGCTCTCTTTGCCCAAGCCGTTTGTGCTGGCACACTTGCGCGACATTGTACCTGCGTTGCAGCTCGCCTTCCGACTCGGTCTGGGGTACCTGCCGCTCGCCATGAATGCCCTGGATGCGCTCGAGCAGTGGGCTTCCACCCTCCCGCGATCGTTGCTGGCAGAGCATTTGCCAGCCATTCTGCCCTTGTTCAACGAGTACCTCCTCGAGAGTGCAGACATTAATCTCGGAGACTCGGCGGACGAAGAGGTCCACAAGGTCGTTCAACGCATGACAAAGGTAGCGCTTCGTCGATCCCGGTCCAGTCTGGCCGGGCCCAAGTTTCAAGACGACGACGCGACCTCGTCTTCTGGCATTAGTAGTGGCAAGGCGCCCGTCGTGGCTTCGGGCGAGTCGCCCCTCCAGCTCGTCCGGCGTCGCATGATTGGGTTTCTCGGGCGCATTGGCGGCAAGCGAAGCGGCGACCTCGTCCCACCCATCAACATTGCCGACCCGAAAGCTGGGTTTATTGTCTGGGATGAGGATCAGCGCCTCCATATTGATTTGCCCTTTGCAGACCTCCGCCCTCGCTTGCTCCTTGATCCCATGCTCCCGCGCATCGTCGAGCTTGCCGAGCTTTCAAGTGACCGACCCACCAAAGTGGCGGCGTGCGAGCTGCTGCACTCGATTATCATTTTCATGGTTGGCCGTGGAGCAACTGCGTCAGACTCGTTTGGCAGCGCCTCGACCGGAGCTGCCGCGGGTGGCAGTGGCCAAGGGCCGAGCCAAAAGGCAACCACACGACATGGTGCAGGCAGCGCTGCAGCGACCGCATCTTCGAGCAAAGGCGCGGTTGTCACAGACCGCGAGTCCGCCTCCATGTTCCGCTTGTACCGCAAGCTCTTTCCTGTGCTCGTTCGGCTGGCCGTGGATGTCGAGCCCGTGGCCAAGCAGCTGTTTGCACCTCTGCTTCTGGAGGTGATTCACTGGTTTTCACAGAGCGCTCGCTACGAGTCGCCCGAAACTGCAGCCCTGCTCACCGCCCTGGTGGAAAGCTTGACTGATCCCGACCACAGCAGTGTTCGCGATATGGCTGCACTCGGCGTGTCTGAGTTTTTGGCGTGGTCCATTCGCCAGTCCACCGACAAGCAGCTGCGTCAAAATCCCGTCAATTTCCAATCGCTCCTCAAGCGTCTGTACTCTCTTGCGCTCCATCCAAGCCCGCAGCAGCGCCTCGGTGCTTCTCTGGCATTCAATGCAATCTATCGCATCTACCGCGAGCACGCTGTGCTAGTCGACGTGTTCATTTTTGAAATTTTGGTCAACAATTTGCACAGCCTTCGTCTTGCCCACGCGGACGATCCCTCGCTTGGCACCCAAGAGCAAGCCAAGCTGGCTGTCGAGAACATTGTGCGAATCGTAATTGGCCACAAGGACTTGCTCGTGCAAGACCGCGTTCGACGCTTGCCTCGCGGTTGGTCGCCCGCGAGCAGCAGCCAATCTACTGGCAAGAGCAGCAACAGCAGCAACAGCAGCAGCAGCAGTAGCAGTGACAGTGGCAGTCGTTCGCGTCGTTCCTCCGCCGCCAAGTCGAATGAAGATGACGCTGCTGGGACCTTGGACGGCACCAAGAGCGGCCCTGAATTTGTCGAGGTGAACTTTACGCTGGGAAGGCTCGTGTCTTGGCTGTTTGCTCAGTGCGCTAGCGCGGAAACAGAGTATCGTCACCAGTGCATGGCACTTTTGCACTCGTTTGCGCCGCTGTTGCCCGGAGTTTCTTCTTCTGCGGCGTGGATTCGCGCATGGGCTGACAAGGAGGGTGCGTCCTACGTTTTAAGCATGGTCGAACCGACGAGTGCGCCGCAGTGTCCTGTTGAAGATGCGAGCACCTTGAAGCCCGAAGCGGCCTTGGCCTGGTTTTCGAGCTTGGAAGCGACTCTGGACTGCTTGAATTGGGTGATTGGCCAAGGGTATCTTGCACCCGAATCCTTTTTGCAGAATGCCGCCATCTTTGCCTCGCTCGGCGCCTTTGTGGACAAGTTTGCGCTGTTCGATGCTTCCACTTCCCCTCAGCTGCAAGCGCTGTCTCCTCACGAGCTGGCTCGCTACAATCGCACAAAGTGCACAGTTCTCGTGCGCGCTTTCAACTTTCTGAGCATGCTGCTGGAGCACCATTCCGCATTTGCCGAGCAACACCTCGTCATCTGGACGCGCCCGATGCTAGAGGCAATTCTGCTTTGTGTGTTGGATCCGGCGGCTGTTGGATTCGACATGGGTGACGTGGAGGTTGTTCGAAAGCTGCCTCGCGAAACGGGCCACTTGCTGTCCCTCCTTGTCAACTTTGTCGAGAGTGCACCGTTGAAGCAGCATCGTCTTGCGTCCGTGCTACACTCGGTCGTGACTCCGATGATTTCCGACTCCTCCAAGCCAACCAGCGTCCATGTTCTGTTGAATGTGGCCACCCATTTGTCGAGTGCGGCCATTCCTGGATCGACCCCTACGTCTGCGCTTCCACACAGACCTCCAGCAACGCGTGACGCGTTGCGCCTGGGCGCTCTCATCACGGGCTACGAGCAGCTTCACGCCGTTCGCTTGTTGTCGTGTCTCGAGGGGAATGCCACCAACTCTGGCACGCTCGCGATGCAGTTCTTGGATGCGGCGGTCGCGCTCAGCGTTCGAGCCACCCAGCACGGCAGCGAGCCGCTGGAGCTTGAAAATGGCGGTCGTTTGCTCGAGCTGGCTTTTGTCCTCAATGTCCAACCCCAGCGCCTCGTCAACCTCCTTCTCGACGCTCGCATTGTCGAATCCCCGGCCCGCACTTCTCGTCCTGCGCGCGGCGAGGTGTTTTTTGCCAGCTTTGCCAGACCTATCGGCGACTTTTTGATTCGGAACTTTGACCTGTTTGCCGACTTGATTATGGCCAAGTGCATCTCGAGCCCAATTGCCCTGCACATTTTGCAAGCGCTGCTCGACATGGTCTTTTCCGACAAGCGGCTCAAGTCCCGCCGTCGTCCTTTCGTCTACATGGTGGCATCCCGCTTGCAGCTGCTGCTTGGCTGGGCCTCTGCAACCTCGTCGAGTAGTGGTAGTAGTAGTAGTAGTAGTAGCAGCAGCAGCAGCGCGAGAGGCAATTCCAGCAACACGAGTGCGCGCGGAACAGCAACCACCACCACTGCAAACGGCGTGCCAGCGTCAGAGCAACGTCAAACTGTTTTGGAGCTCCTGCGCAAGTGTCTGCTGATTGATTGGCAAGCAACGTTGCACCACGACCATTTCGATGGCGTGTACAAGCTCTTTGTTGCGCTCCTGTCCAACTTGGAGGCCCCATTGCCGTTCTTTGTGGGCGTGCTCGAACTGCTGCCCCGGTTCTTGGAGACCTTGCAGCTGCAGCTGACGAACGCGGAAGCCTGGCTCTCCACGCCATCACCGTCGTCGTCGTCGTCCGTCGCGACTGCGGCCGCCCCAAGCAGTTCTCACAGTCGGGTAGCGCTGCAACGAGCAGACACGGCAATGGACACGAGTACTAGCAGTAGCGGCGCACAACCCGGTGTTTCATCCGCCAGGTCTAAGCGCCAGCAGGTGGCAGTCAACCCGGCCACGGTCCAGCATTCGGCAGAACAACGGCATGTGCAACTCGAGCAAGTGTTGCAGCTTTTGATTGGCAACAAATTCCCCGTTTTGTCGACCGAGTTTAAGCGCGGCTCGTCCAAGTTTTTGGACTACGCGACAGCCATGGAGAGCTTGCTTTCGGCGCTCTCCGCCACCGGTTCCATCCTGCTTTTGCGCGTCATGCTCCCGATGCTGTGCCGAGAGTCCGTACATGCACTCGAAGAAGCCATTCAGCGCCATTTGCGTGCCTTCATGGGTGTGCTCTCGGCCCGCTACACGGCCCCTCAGCAGCAGGCACCACATTCAAACCCCACGACCTCCTTTGTCAACTCTGTGGAGGTGGCGTTTGCGTTCGTTCTCGACGTTCTCAACGGTCGTCATCACCGTGCAGCGTTGCGCCGCGCCGCAGGTCAGCGTGTGCTCGTCACGTTTGCGCGGGCGCTCAAGGAGACGCCGCTGGTGGATGTCCTTGCGCGACACATTCCCGCCATCTGCGAGACAATTGCATTGCCTCCGCCACGGCGCGACAGTCGAACCACCGACGACGATGTCGAGGCCGCACTGATTCATCGCACCACGTTCTTCAACCTTGTCGAAATCATGTACCAGCGCATCCCTGCCAAGGAGCTCAAGGGCCAAGGGCGCATCAATCTCGCCTTCCTCGGCGACAAGCCCGTCGACAAGGGCAATGAGCTGACACAGGCCATCACGAAGGCTGCGCACATTGCCAAGTCGGAGGCTTCCACTGCGAACACCGCATCGACGGGGTACTCCGTTTCCAGCTCGCTGGCTGTGGGCGGAGGAGGCGCCATGAACGCTGTCGCGCAACCAACCTCGGCTCAGCAGCAGCAGGCGGGTGACCAGCAGACCGCTCTGCGAACCGCGCGACTGGCCTACCATCGCGCGGCGTACAATGCTCTGGCGTCCTTGCTGCTTGCGACCCAAAACCGACCCGAGCTGTTTGATTACTTCTTGTTCAAGGAAAACCGCGGCAAGGGCGAGTTGCTGTGGGAGAATATCATTGACACTGAGCGGGTGTATGCCTTTGAGCCCGAGCTTGTTGTTCCCATGACTCGGCGTGATAGGCTTGCGCAAATACGCGATGCCCAGGGCACTGGCGGGCCGTCCACGGCCTCTTCCGTGCTCTTTGACGATTCAGCATCGGCGATGGCTGACACTCGCCGACGCCCAGCCTACTTGGCCTCGCAATACCTCGCCGAAAGCTCCTTCAGCGATGACCTCGGGTTGTTCCACGCGGCTGCCAACCAGGTCGGTCGTGGAAGCGAGCCACAGCTGCAATCTGGCGAAAGTGCCGACGCAACCAACAAAGCGGCACAAGGAGGCGTCAAAACGTCTGGACCACGGGGCGCTGCTGCTGCTGCTGCTGCTGCAAGCGGCGACGCTTCTGCCAACTCGAGCGGCTCGCTTGGAGCGCCCAACTCTGCAAGTGCCGTTGATGAAGAACTGTCCGTGGCTGTCATTGATGCTGACGGGCACGAGGTCCGCACGCAAACCTATGTTGTTAGCAACTCTGCCCTCGAGCTCGACGATTTCAACGCAAACGAGTGCATGCCCACCATTCTGCGTTTGATTGATTTCATGGATGCCAAGTTCAACCCTCTGGCCCAGCAAGGGACTGCCACCGCGGTGGCTGGTGGCGGCGCCAACACGGCGGCGGCCGCCTCGTCAGCTGTGCCCATGCAGACCGATGCATCGGATGTCGTTGAGGTGGTGCGGCTGGCCGACGCAATGCCGTCATGGATGAGTGAAATCCACCGCAAGTTTGAGCAGCTGGACACGCCACTGAACGTCAAGATGTTTATTGCCAAAATTCTCGTCAATCGGCAAGACCTCTTCCGTCCTTACGGCCTCTTTTGGATGCGCAGTCTACTGCAACTGATCACGGCCGGCCCTGGCGGTTCGGGCATTCATTATTACCTCGTGGACTTGTGCGTGCTCTTGTTGTCGTGGGCGCCGTACGTCATCCCTGCCGACGACTTTGAGGACAAGCGCCTCGCGTCTCGTGTCCTGGAGCACCTGATGAAGCACGCATGGCATCCAACACGTGCTGTTTTGCGCAACAATTTGGAAATCATCAAGGCGGTCGTCGAGTGCTGGCGGCAGCGCGTTCAGATTCCCTACCGCGTCATTTTCGAGAGCTTCAAGGACCGCAATCCCGACACGACCATGAATTCGACTGGCATTCAGCTGTTGGCTGTGCTGATGGCCAACCAGCTGCCGTCCTTTGTTGAGAGCCAAGCAAGTGGAGTGGACGCGCGCGAGTTTTACGACGCCCTATCGCAAAACCTCCTTGCCCGTCGGCGAGAGGTCTATTCAGCGGCCGCAGAAACGATCGGAATGGCTCTGTCCGAGCAACACGCAGTGAATCGGGCTGGAGGCAGCAGCAGCAAGAGTCGGCAACACCGCGAAAGTCCGTTGCAACAGCTCGCTCTCGATCGGCTCCACCAGCTCGCCCAGCACGCTAGTGGGGCTGCGGCAGGCGCCGTGGCGGCTTCACGCAGCTCGAGCAGCAATCCGACAGACAAGTTTTTGATTTGTCTGCATCGCATGGGCAAGTACTTCCCCGAGATGTGCGACCACTTTTTCACCATTCTCATCTTTATGCTCCCGAGCTTGCATGGGCAGTTTAAGGAAATGACGCTCGAAATGATTTCCTGGCGCGCCACTCAGACGCCAGCCTTGTTCCAAAATCTGCGCGCCAAAGACCTGCTTGGTCTGTTGACGCATCGCGAAGAAGGTGCACAGCTGTTCACGCTCCAAACGCTCAAAGCGCTCCTGCACTCGCTCACGACGGAAGAGATTGAGTACTTTATGCCAACAGTGATCCAGACCTTCAGCAAACACGACAGTCTGGAATGCCGGCAAGTCATGTACGACATGCTCATCTCGCTGTTCGATCAGGGAAGTGCAGACCTACGCGAGTTGGTGCAGCCGCCGCTCGTGCAGGGCCTCGCCGATGAGAGCGAAGCCATTCGCGTGCTGCTTCAGGGCTTTTGGCACAATCCCAATCGCTTGTCGCACAACACGTTGCAGCGGCTCCGGGGCATTTTCGATTTCATGTACACTCCAGAGGCGGAGGCACGGTTCATCAACAATGGCGCGAATCTGATGCTTGAGCTGGCTCGCCTTGCCCGTGACTACGACGAGCCCCTCTTTGATCTGCCACTTGCCGAGTGTCCGTTCGAGGAGTATCCGATCGACGCGGCATGGCATCGACGCCACATTCCGATGAGCATGGCGTATGGCATGACGCAATTTGCTTCCCAGCTCCAGCAGTCGCAGCAAAGCGGAAGCGATGGAGATGCGCGCCCAGTGGGCTTTTTGCGCGCTACCCAGCAGTCCCTGCTGTTCACGCCAACAATGTCGAATGTGATTGGGTCTCTTGCCAGCTCGAGCCTTGGCCCGATGTCGAGCTATCAGTCGCAACCCGGCTTTTCGTTTGGCTACGGCGGCTCGTTTGGCGCTTTCGGAGACGCAGGCGGCCAGTCCCAAAACATGGATGAAGCGTCGGCGGCGCGTCGCTTGATGGCCTTGCAAGATGAGGAAGGGTCCAAACGCTCGTCCCTGCTGATCAAGCCAAAGCCACTGGGCGTGAACTTTGGTGCCGCAAGAAGCGCAGGAGCCTCCTCCTCTTCCTCCTCCTCCTCCCAATCCACCCGCACCGGCAGCAGTCATTCCGGGAGCGTCTCGACTGCTGTTGCGCGTCGCGAGGTTCTTCGGCTCAAACGTCGCTTTATCAAGGATTCGGCGGAAGCAGGCTCGCAGTACCACATGATGCAGGCCGTCAAACGGCGCTCGCACATGATGGATTTGCAACGGCGCCAAAAGATTGCGCGTGCCAACAAGGTTGCCCTGTACCGACGCTACAAGTTTGGCGAACTCCCCGACATTCAAATCAAACGCCGCGAGCTCATCCAGCCGCTGCAGGCCCTGGCACAGAAGGATTCGGTCATTGCCCGCGCCGTTTTCGCTCAGCTCTTCAATGGCGTGTTGCACGAGAGCCAGTTCAAGATTGACTCCAAAGACCTGGACGCGGCCGTTCTGGCCCTGAGGCGACGCCTTGGAAACATGCTGAAGGACTCGCGCTACTTTGTTGCGCCGTTTGTGGCTTGCCTCGAGGACATTTCGTTCCACGACTCGCGACTGGAGCTGAAAGCCACCGTCGTCAGCACGGCATCCCTCAACTCGTCCAACTGGCACAACGGCGTGGCCCTGCTCGAGAAGCAGATTTTGGCCGGCCAATCCGCAGAGGTGGTGCAGCCGTCAAAGCGCGCACGCCTTCTTGCAGCAAACCCAATCCCTCAGGGCCTGGACTGGCTCGAGCTGACCAAGCTGTATCGGGCCATGGAAGAGCGGGACACCATCATGGGAATTCACGCGACGCAACTCTGTGCGAACAATAAGGAAACCCTTGACGCGATTCAGGCCGAGGCCGAAGGAGATTATGCCAAGGCTGGAGACCTCTATGAGGATTTGATCAAGGAGAGCATTGGTAACGAGGGGAGCCCCACGTCGGAAGAGCAACTCGATGTGTGGGAAATGGCTCGCTTTGAGTGCTACTCGAAACTGTCTCGATGGAACACAATCCGCGACATTATTGACGGCTCCTTGTACGACGCGCACGATGACAGAATTCATTACGAGCAGCTTTGGGACCCTGGCATGTCAAAGGATGTGCGTCTTCCATTGTTCATGCGCGCCTGGCTGCAACAGCAGCCCTCCTCCACGTCTGCCGCCCAAGATGTTGCCGAGGACGCTGCCCAAAACCCGCTGTTTGAATTTGTGTCGCAAACGTTCGCCATCGGCAGCCCCCAGCAACGCTTGTTGCTCGAGTCTCGCTTTTCGTACGAGCTCTCGCTCGTGGCTGTCCTGCGAAACGACTTTGAGCGTGCCAAGTACCACCTCGCCCATTGCTACACCAACTTTGTGCAAGACTGGTCGTCACTGCACCCGCTTTTGCACCAAGCAAGAAAGGCTCGCGTGGGCGAGGTGCAGGCCACGGTGGAGTTGGACGAGTTCCTGCAGCTCGTCACCTCCCCCAGCAAGGTTTCTTCGTTGAGCACCGTGCGCAAGCAAATGCTAGCGTGGCGCGGCCGTCTTCCCAGCAAGACACTCCAGTCGATGGAAGTTTGGGATGGCGTGGTCAATAGCCGTCGCATTTTCTTGCGAAAGCTTGCCGACCAGTTTGTCGCAAGCCGCACCAAGTTGAGCGCGCGCGGAGACGGCGGTCCGGCCACGTTGTCACTCACCGCAGCCAATGACGACGTTGCTCCCATGCTGATCGATGCTGATAGTGACGCTGCGAGCGGGGTTGCAACGCTTTCGGACGACGCCAAGTTTCGGCGCCAGGCGGTTCTCGTCCGGCTGGTCGTCGCGGAAGAGCAAGTTCACTTGGCCTTGGCCATGGGAAAGGCAGCCATCAAGCAAAACAACCATGCCGTTGCCAAGGATTGCAAGGAGCACGCGTATGCTCTGCTGAAGCAAGCTCGCGAAACAGATGTCGGCAAACGACACGCCAAGCTGAACGAGCATCTGCTTGTGATGTGGTATCACTATGCGCTCCGCATGGCCTATCAATGTCCGCCAGCCGAGCAAGCAACCAAAATCAAAGAGCTGCTCAGTGGGTTGACGAATTGGGCTTCGTTCTGTGGCAAGGTGCAGCACGATCCGTTGCTTGCACAGCGGCACCAGTTGTTCCGATTCGAGCTGCTCCATGCATTGTCGTCCAATGCCACCAATCTCGCAACTGTACTCGGTTCGTCCGAGTTCACCGCCAGCTTGGCAAAAGCGCTGCAAATTCGCTCTGTCAGCGGCGTGAGTGTCGACCCCGTCGCGAGTGCACCCAAGTTGTCCAGCACCGATTCCACCAAGGATGCCATTCGCAGTGCCGCGTTTGACGCGCTGACTGCTGCGATTGGGCTGGCGACAAGCGCTGACGAATCATCGACTCGTCCTGCAAAGCCCCATGCGTCGGCCGCCCCCATTGGTCGCGCTGCTGTGACGGACGCGATGGCTCTTGCCTCGTCTGCGATTGTGTCGAATGCGCGAATGGCGAAAGCTCGCGTCAAGCTTGCGGCCTTCTGTGAAGAGCAGATTGAGGAAGTGGTGCAGCTACACGAGCAGCAGCAGCAGCAGCAACAACAACAACAGCAGCAGCAGCGTTCCAAGCCCCGTGCTCTGGGCCAAGCGGACGCGCCTGCCTTGCCATCATCGATGCGACATTTGCCCAAGCTCATTGTGGAGAATGTTCTCAAGGCCATGGCCCTGGGCTCACCCGATGCTCGCGACAGCTTCCCACGGTTGCTCCAGTTGCTCGCCCAGTTTGGTTCGTCGTCCCCTGAGCTTGGGAATCTGTTCAAGGATCTGTCCGAGAAAGTGCCTTCTTGGATGTTTATTCGTTGGATTGCCCAGATTGTCGCCGTGCTCGACAAACCGGAGGGTCTCAGTCTTTCGCGCATCCTCAAAAACCTTTGCCTCAACTACCCTCAAGCGATTGTCTACCCGTTCTTTTTGAGCTGCGAGCAATTCTCATTTGCTCCGACGCGCGATGGAGAAAAGTGCAGAATCAACGTCAACGGCGCCAAGCGACTCCTCGGCCAGCCACTCACCATCACGTTTGCGAGAGAGCTGGAGCAGTTTTTGCACCCGGATCTGGCGCTGAAAGATTGGGTTGAGAGCGAGCTGAAGGCCTTCATCGACCAGCCTCCATCCAGCCGCGCCGAGCAGCTGCCGGCGCTCGAGGCCAAGTATCAGGCGCTCAGAACCGAGCTTTTGGATGACAAGAACAGCGCGCTGGGCAGCTATCGTCGCGCTTTTGCCGTCCAGTTGCAAGCGGCAGTGGACGAACTCGTCGACGTCATTCAGAGTGCCGCTGGGTCGAGCAAGGCCGGTTCAGCAGCGTCCAAGTCCCTGACTACACTGCTTGATGAGCGCTGGAAGCAAATTCGCGAGCAGATGGAGAAGCACATGACGGCCAACCCGGCGCCGACCAGCCTCAAAGCGTACTCGCCATGGCTTGCTCGGTATTCTGGTACGATTGGCATGATGCAGGCAAATGGTGCGGACGGACATGCGCTGGCCGGCCTTGAAATCCCGGGCCAGTACACTGGCCTGTCGGAACCGTTGCTCGAGTATCACGTCAAGATTGCCGGCTTTGACGATCGCGTCGAGACGCTGCAGTCCATCCGCAAACCCAAGGCCATCATCATTCGTGGCACCGACGAGAAAGAGTACAAATTCCTGGTGAAGGGCGGCGAAGACTTGCGCCTGGATCAGCGTGTTCTCCAGCTGTTTGATTTGATGAATCAGATCTTTGCCAAGGAGTCGACAACGGCGCAGCGCCAACTTTCCTTGCGTACCTACCAGGTGGTTCCGACAAGCATGCGTGCCGGCATTCTGGAATGGATGACCAACACTCGCACGCTCAAATCATTGCTGGAAGGCTCGTTGACGCCAGACGAGAAGATGGCGCTGTCGCGACCGACCACGATGGGCGCGCAGTACCAGCAGTGGATGACGAGCAAGGTGGCCAAGGCAGACGCTGGTCACCTTGCTTTAATGTATGGCAGCATGTTCCAAAATGTCACGCGCAGCGAAGTGGAGTCGTTCTTTGGCAACTTTGAGCGGCAGGTGCCAGGCGACCTGCTCAAGCGATCCGTGCTTCGACTGTGTTCGTCGCACGAGGCGTTCATTACCGTTCGTTCGGGCTATGCGCGCAGTGTCGCCACACTGAACGTATGCCAGTACGTGCTGGGCATTGGCGACCGGCACTTGTCCAACTTGATGCTCGACATGACCACTGGACGGGTGGTGGCCATCGATTTTGGCCATGCATTTGGCTCTGCGACGCAGTTTTTGCCCATCCCGGAGCTGATGCCGATGCGCTTGACGCGCCAAATGGTCAACTTTTTGCAACCGCTCACCGTTGATGGCTTGGTCAAGCAAAACATGGTCCACACGATGCGAGCGCTGCACCGGCACCAACAAATGCTCCTCGCCTCGATGGAAGTGTTTATCAAGGAGCCTCTTTTGGATTGGAAGCTGAACGCCAACAAGCAACGCAAAATGCAGCAGCAGACCGTTGCCGCTCTCAAGCAAGCGGATGGCCGCAGCGGCGGTGCTGCGATTTCAAGTGGTGGTGCTTCTTCCTTGGATCGCGGAGGGCGGGACGCTAGCTCTCGGAGCACCGGCCAGCAGCAGCGAGGGGCCTCCGGGTCAAGCTCGAGTCGCGGCTCCGCGCTCCCATCTTCCGTCGAAAACGCGATCGCCAACGTACCTGGCTGGGATGCCTATGCCGACGGCGATGCCAACGAAGAATGGTATCCTCGGCAAAAGATTGAACTCGCCCGCCACAAGCTCAACCTCTGGAACCCCGCGTATGTCATGCGCGATGAGCTCACTCTGGGTCACGCCAGCAAAAAGTGGTTTAGCTCGGTGCTCAACATTGTTATGGGTGACCCCGATCGCGATTTTCGCGCCAAGAATCCCGAAAGGTGCGAGAGCATCGAGGCTCAAGTGGATTGCTTGATTGAGCAAGCCCGCGACCCCAACATTCTGGGCCGAACCTGGGCTGGCTGGGAGTCGTGGATGTGAGGATGTTGCTTTTTGTTTTGTTTTTTTGTGGTTGTTGTTGTCGTTGTTGGTTTTGTCGAAGTAGTTGCTGTTGGTGTTGGTTTTGTGTTGTTTGTTTTTGAAGTGCATGCAGTATGTCTTGTCTTTTGTTGCATCAAAAAGTTGCACGATGGAGGTTCTTTTCGAAATTACCGTCGACTACAACTTGATCATCTCACAAGCAACACGTTCTACCTTGCCATTTTGCCAAGAGCATAACACTGACAGTTTTTTTTATCAAGACTTTGGAACAGGAACACACACAGGGATCAGTGAGTAGAGAAAGGCAATCGCGAACTGCCTCTTCACCCAAGACAACGGATAACACAATGATAAAGAAATGAAGCAAACAAACAAACACCCCCCTTGGAGAGCACAATGTCTCGCTTATCGCGTGGCCGCTGGAGGGGGTGATGCAGGTCGCGACAATGGCGACGAGTTGTTTGCGTTGCCCGAGCTGGAGCTCCCGGAAGGGGCCAGTGCGCGCTCGCCCGTGATGAATGTGTGGTAACCCGAGAATTCGTCAATCCGAGGGAGATGCATCAGTCGTTGCAGATAGTTTTGCAGGCCGACCTTACGCTCGTTGATAAACTCGGGGTCCTGGTTGAAAATAACAAGAAAAAGGAAGCGAAATGCATGGCACCAAAGAGCATCGACAATAAAGAGCAAACAAGACAGGTGAGTCAAAAAGGCGCACGCGGAATCAGCAACACGCTTGAATTCCCCACCTCATGGTCAAAGAACCAGCGCCATTGCTTGGGCGGCATTTCAGGGATGTTTCCGACCAGGTGAGGCAGTGCGTGAGTGTAATACGCGCGGAGCTGCGGCAAGATGACGGCAGTAACAATCACAGCAATTAACAAGTGAGTTTTTTTTTTTTGTTTGTTTGTTTGTTTGTGAGATCTGGCGAGGTTTCCTCCGTTTTGATTCCTTGGACTTGCGTTTGCTTCTAGACCTCGGTCATCTCCATACGAATAGATAGAGAGTTGACCTTCAGGTCTCATCACCACAAGCACCTGTCAAAAAAACGACCAAAAACAACAAACGAATGCACGTACCCCGCGATCGAGCTCGTCAAACGCAGAATAGCGTCGCAGAGGTGTAAACACACGGCCTTCCGGAGTTGTCGTCTGCAACTTGTAGAACTGGTTGAAGCACAAAATTGCAACACATGTGAGAACGACAAGTACATAACCCAAAAAAAAAAAAAAAAAAAATCAATGCCAATGCAAAATGAGTGAGTTTTTTTTTTTTTTTTTTTCAATTTTGCCGGGAAAATTCGCGCTCATAACTGCTGGGGGCTTTGTTTCGCTGTCTGCCCATTGAAGATGGACGTGTGTCCGAGCCAAGATGCGGCGTGGAAGGGGATGGGTGGGGCGCGACAGTCACGGGCACTTGGAATGACCGCCGAAGCCTGGCACAGGGGACACGAGGTTTGTGATGCGCGACCGGTGTTGTGTGCCAACTCACCGTGACGCTGGGCTCGGTGCCGGTGCGTGCCTTGACAGACTCGGCAATGACGACCGACCAGCCCTTGTACGGCGCAACGACGGCGGCTTGGCGGTCGTGCAGGCTTGGCGAGACGGTCGCAAACACACTCTGCACACCACGAATTTCCATTCAATGCAAGATGCAGCTTTTCTGTAGCAAAGACAAGGACTGGTTATCTCAATCCGTTCGTTCCATCAAGGTCAGAGGTACATTCAATCCAGTGGAAAATAAATCTACGTGCAATCGCGGTCGCTGTGCAAAAAAGCGCAGACAGCAGCCCGAAAAACTGAGGCATTTCCAGTTCTCATGCGCGTTTGACAGCAAGAGGGTTGTCCAGTGCACTGCAGTTCTATTGCATACATCACCAATTGCCTTGTCGTTTGTTTTTGAATTATCTTGCTGCTGGGATGGTCGGAGCTGTTCTCGATCTAACTTTGGTTGTTTTTGTATTCCAACCGTTTGCTCTGCTCATCCCCATGACCTCGCTTCCTCCACGGTGTACTCTGCTGATTCATTTTCGACAATTCTCCTTCCCTTTTAGTTCTTGTGAGCCGCACTCCCCCTTCTTGCCCAAGCAGAACGCCACTACTCTAACATTGCAATGTATTCCATTCGCCCTGTTCTCGACTTTACGACGCCCGCCCAGACCGGTGTCATGTACGCCGTGCGCCCAGTCTACGACGAGCCCGCCCTCCTCACCTCGTCCCGCATGCTGGCCAGCGCCGCGTCCGCCGGATCCAGCTCGGGCGCAAGCTCAAGCAGCTCAAGCGTGAGTGTGTGTGTTTGCTCGGCCAAGCCGCGTGCTCTCCACACAAGCCATCCCCCGTCAATCCGCCCACCGCCCACCCCTCGCCCACCTCCCCTCTCCCCCACCGCAGCTCAGTCTCAGTCTCAGTCTCAGTCGCAAACAGCCAGAGCGAGCAGAGGCGGACTGGCGA